TCCGATCTCCCCAAAACCCCAAAACCCCTCAATCAAAAGTTAGTTTCTAAATTAGGATTGTTTAAATAAATATTATATGTTACAAATATATTTTTGATTTAATGAGATTCTATAGATGAATTAGCTACATTAATTAATTTATTTTATTACTCAATATTCTTAGTTTTAGATTCAAAGTAATGAAATCAATAATTGATCTTGCCACCTTTTTGAAAAGCAAAAGCTTACACTCTTTGTAATTCTCAAAATTAATTGCAAAGCTGCTTATTATGCTCATGACATTTTTAATTATTTTTATATAAACTTGATGTTTACATCTTTTATTTCTCTCGATTTTTGGAATCAAAGTTTTAATCTATTGCTGCACTTCATTGAACTTCTGATAAAAAGTTTTTTCTTTCTCATTTAGATTATGTTTTAATCTAAATTTTCTGATTTTTCCTTTGCTTCAATTTTATCAAATTATTTTATACACTCACCCTCTCTTTTATGATTCAAATTTATTAAAAGAATGATTCGAATTTGACGTGCATTCTATCATTTTAGACTTATTTCGGAATTAGTTTGTTGAATTTGATTGACCAAGAACGATTCTTTATTTAATTATACTCTCTCTAATTTTTTCTTTGTTCGGTGGGGTTTAAAGTGTTCTCGTATTTTAGCCCGATTTAATTTATGCGTGCTCAAAGAATATCATGGATTTTTTCCTTATAAAATTCGCAACTTTTGGGGTCGCTACTCCAAAAATCAATCATTCCTATTTTAAATGCTATTTAATAAGCAAAATGATACAATAAAATGCAAATTCTCTAGACTTGTTTTCAATTTTCAGGGAGAATAACAAGTCTGAGTTAATTTATCCAGAAATTGAGATAATCAAAAGTCTTAAGTTACTTCCGTATTCAAATTACCTTAAGATGTCTTTGAAATATTACTGGGTCAGAGGTCTATTTTATATCTCAAACTTAGTGAACTATAATAAATTTAAATTCAGATAATGATTTTTACTTCAATTTTAACCGCAACTTTTTTGACATCAAGCACTCTAGCAATCTAACTCAGTGACGTCCTCTAGAAGAGTAGAATGCAGCTTTCGTGGAGACAGGAAGCAACTAACAAGTTTTCTTGGAATGCAACACAAGATCTAAAATGGTCTGTAGTAAATGCCTTCATTGATGTGCAGACTTCCCCAGATGGAGATGTTTACGCAATTTAAAACATCAGCTCGGAGATGAGTGACCCCAAATATCATATTTACTTGTATGATGTCACTTCCAATCTTTGGAATCTTACTGATCCTGGCTTCCAAGCAAAGGCTGTCAGATTCGACAGATTAGGAAAAAGGTTTTACCTGACTCCAGATAACTGCGTCCTCAACGAGCAAAAGCAAGTATTATTATGCGGAGTCTCAGATTTTGAGGTTACAGTTGATAAAAAGATATATGGCCTTATTGATAACTCAGGAAGATAATAAGCTGATTCACTATCAAGTACAACTTGGAAGGCAGCATCAAATGATTCAAGCTACACTTACAAGGCTCTTTCTGGATACAAGGGAATCACATTACTGAGAGACGAGCCTATCTTACTCTCTTAAGATGGCACGGTTGATGCTAAATATGGATCAGAGAAACTCATGAGCATCAGTGCTGGTATTGACGGCTCACTTTGGGCTTTACTTGATGAGATCAATGCCATTGATCACACAGTTCTCAAATGGTAGACTGTTACTTAGAAATGGTACAAGGTAGAGGGTGCTTCTGGAGTAAGTCTCTCTGCTTACAATGAAATTTCAGTGGCAATTGTTGATTCTAGGGGACTTCTTAGTCTATCATCGCAAGTAGGACATTAAAATGAGGCTTCTTATGTTGTGAAGAATTCACCTTAAGCTACTTCTCCTGAGACAACTGCGCCATCAACAACTTAAATGCAAACTAGTCAACCACAAACAACTGCTCAGCCCACTACTACTATTGCTACTACAACCACAACAACACCAGAGCCAACCACTACAACAGCTACAACAGCTGCAACAACAACTGCAGCTACAACAACCGCAACTACTACTGTTCCACCACTTCCTCTTGTGCTCCTTCAACCTTCAGATTCCATTCTTACTCATCCAAACTTCAAGTTCGTCGCAACTGCTGTCACAGGGAAGAACTTTACCAAATTCACGCACTTATTTACAGCAAAAAGGAATGGAGGTTAAACCTATAACCAAGTTTATTAAAAGATCACAGGGATAAGGAATATCTTCGGATTCATCAAAACTAACTCTTCCTAAGTGCTCGGCTTTTATGTTCAAGAAGCTCTTGGTGTTACTCCAACAAAAACAGCTATCTTCTCTGTAACTAAGGCTGGTGTATTTAATAGCCTAGATAGCGGCGACGATCTAATTCGCTTCTAAGATAACGGCGCATAAAGATGCTATGTCCAGAATCATTATGCAGATATATTCTTCTCCTATAATTGTGCTGATGAACCTGAAACTTTTGAGAGAGTCCGTAATGGAATTGCCCTTGAATTTGAACATTCTGCAGGATATCCCTAAATAAAGGTATCAAACTACTTAACAGAGAATCTTGACCCTAAAAATGATTCTTTCGTTTGTTAATAAGTAGAGTACTATCAAGGAGAATAATGACAATCTACTTAGAGTAATCAAAATTGAAAATTATGATCTTTAAAATTGAAAGAAATTTTACCTTTATCATCGAAAAGATAAATCACTGGTGAAATTATTATTTTAGAGATTATAGCTTTTGCTTAAAAGTTAATTTTTAATTAGAAACTAAATAAATTTAAACTTATAAATTTACTTTATTATCATTTATTTTTATTTACGGGGTTTTGGGGTTTTGGGG